TGCCCTGGCTCCTCAGTCTACAGACTTAAGGGAGTGGGGGTTTATTAATAAGCATGTTGGAGAGATTAGGGGAAGGGTAGGTGGACCCTCTCCTGGACAGAATGGGAGGACAGTGCCACCAATGTCACCTGCCTGGTAAGGCAGGGACGGCCTGCCTAGTGTGGCTGGGGGAGCACTGGGGGGGGGGGGTGACCTTGCCTAACAGGCTACCATGCCTGGGTTGCACCTGCCTCATTTGGGAGTGGCCAGGCCCCACCCTTTGTGGGGAAACCGGAATCTCTGGGCATTCTGGGCAGCTTCTGAGTCTGTGTTTCTGTGTGCCTAATCGGGGCCACCACCGCGGGCTGGGTGGGTGCTATCTGAAGGCTCTCTGGGAGGGCATGCTGACCCTCGTGAGGATATGGAGGCCATCTGTCAAGGGGCGATCTCATTGTGGCTGTGCATTCTCTGTGTCTGCCCTGCCCCCTCCCCTGCTGGATACCGCTCTAAAGGAAGAGGAAACTGACCTACCCTCAACCCTGGCTGCTAAATCCAAGCCCATCTCTGGGGCTCTGGCTGAAGACTCTTGTGGGGAAGGCTTTTCCCTAGAATTTAGACCAGGATCCAGGTGGCAGAGGCCACAGCCCTAGCCTTGGCCCCTTCCACCCCCGCCCATGGGCGGCAAGCCTGGGGTCTTGAAGAGCTCGGCGGATGTGACTGTGGGCAAGAGGAAGCCCGCTCCCAGGATGTCACAATTTCCTTTGCAGTGAACTAGCATTTCTGGGGGCGGGAGATACGTGGCTGGTAGGGCGGCTCCCGCTTTTTTTTTTTTTGGTCTGGCCTGTGTGGCTTGCCGTGGACATAGGTCACACAGGAGCCTGGCGAGAATCTGCTCATCCCCACCGCTGTGCCAAGCGGTCCTGGGAAGGGTTGGGCTCACCCCTACATAGGTTGGGGCAGAGGGGTCAGGAGAAGTTCTGGGAGAAAGTGGTAGGGAAACCCTTCATAATCTGTAGGTCTGAGTTGTTACCTTGTCTAACGGCCAGTGAACAGAAGGGGAAACTGAGCCACAAGGGTTCAGCTATTTGTGGCCCATCATTGGAGGCTTGGTGCCGTCTTTACAGGCAATGGTTAAAGGCTTTCCTGGACTCCTGACCCTCCCCACCCTTGCCATCAAGCTTTAATATTGTCCCAGAGGTTTTGAGCTTCCCGTGTCCTGTGACTGCCATTTCCATCTGGAGATTAGCACAGATAACAGCCAGGAGGGCTCGTGGGTGTACATGGAGCTCCCTGGCTGGAGGCTTGGCTTCTGAGGGCAGCTCCTCAGAAGGGAAAAGAGTATTTATGGCTAGCCAGGGAACTAGGCCACTGGGCCTCATCCTCAGCCAGCACCCAGGAGCCACCGGCCGAGCCCTGCAATGGGACAGGGCAAGGTGAGTGACCTCCAGAGCCAGCTGCGGGGTTTGAGAGAGGGACTGTGCCCAGCGTCCGTGCAGACTCACCTCATCCCCAGCTGCACAGACCCCCAGCCTCCCCCAGTTAGGACTCCATGGGGACTGACTGGGTGTGAGATAGAGCAGGAGACTCCTGCAGTCATGCGGCGCCTTGGGATGCGGTGAGCGCCCAGCGGTGACAAGGCTTTCTGGAGGCGACGCTCCTTAAGCAGTGGGGGAGACGGGCGGTTGTGCCCAGCGTGCAGGCAGGGCTGCTGGTGCCCAGGGCAGGGTGGTGTGCAGCAGCCCGCCCGGAGGTCGCACAGGACCTGACGCTGGGCATGCTGCCCAGCCGAACCGTCACCCTGACTGAGCAACATGATAACTGAGGTGAAGAATGGTTCATTTTCTGTCACCTCCCCTCGGAAGACTTCCATGTTGGTATCTGTGACCCGTGTTGCCCCTGGAAACCACACTGATGTCTGTGATCCTTGAACACCATGTGGAAGGCCGTGGTCTGTGCTGCTCCCGGCTGCTGTGGGCACAGAAACTTCTTGCTGTGGCTTTAATGCGTGCAGACTCGCAACTGAGGATGAGAGGCGCTGAAGGCTTCTGTGATGCCCTTTGTCGCAACCCCCCACAAAACAGTCCAGACATGAAATCTGTTGAAGGGAGTATTTAAAAATTGTGATAAAGATTTAATAATTCAAATAAACTTAAATTCTGTCAGACAGAGGTGGCGCTCACCTTTAATCCCAGCACTCAGGAGGCTGAGGCAGGTGGATATCTGTGAGTTCAAGGCCAGCCTGGTCTACAGAGCGAATTCCAGGACAGCCATGGTTACACAGAGAGACCATGTCTAAAAACAAACAAGCAAACAACAAAACAAAGCAAAAAGAAAATTCGATAAAGATACTGAAATGTAATCTTCACAGGTGAGGGCCTCTGGTGGAGGAAAGACTTGCTTTTCTTTAGGGGTCTGGGAATTTGACCATGCTCCAGTGAATATGTGGGCAACTTGGTGTTTTCATTTGGGGGGGGTGTGGGGAAGGGGAAGTGAGTGTGATTGGGGCCGCCTGCCCCTCCCCATCGGTACCAGCTTCCTAGGGTAACGCCCGCCTGATGCCCTCTCCCTGCCCTCTGGTCCCAGACAATTGCCAAGCGGAGGAGCTTCTGCATCGAGGCCCCAGGTGAGGCTGTTGTCATGGAGTTATCCCCAAGCAGGGCCCTCGTGTGACCACCAGTGCTCTTCAGGGTCTGCCAGCTCCACCCCCTGTGGCTTCCATCTGTGGCCTCAGAGGGCTGTGGGATAGGACTCCTGACACTTTATGGTGATGGAGCCAAAGCCAAGGTTGTTGGTCCTGGGCCAACTCTGCCTCTGCTCTCCCAAGCCCGCTACCCACCCAGTTTTACAGCCCCAATACAGAATGCAGAGCAGGTGGGAGCAGACAGGGGCCCAGACCACTTCCTGCTCCAGTTCACCCACCACAGCCTCTGGGCAGCACAGGCTCTGCCAGTCATGCTTTGAAAATCACTAGAAGGCTAGACCACGGTTCCTTTTGTGGATGACTCCCAAGGTGGCCTCACACCACTGTCTGATGATTTCACTCTGAGCTGTAACCCCTTCCCTGCTGTGTGAGCTTGAGTGAATTAATCAACCCCTCTGAGCCTCCATTGCCCACCTACAAATCAGAAGTGTGACAAGATAATGTCCCTCTTGGGAGATGTTTTGAGGGACAGGGCATGTAGGGGGCTGGGCCAGGCGGGGCACATGAGGCTCCAATCTTGCCTAGACACTGTTGACACTTCCCAGTAGCTCCTGGAGCTTCCTCCAGGGAGGGCTCGCGGTATGCCTCTGCCTTGTTTATAATATGTGCCCAAACAAGGCTCCCTAAAACCATGGTGTCCTCTTCCAAATGGTTAACGTTATGTTTATGTTGTGTGGAGTCTACGTCAGTAAAAACTCACACGGCAGAACAGGTCCCTGTCCCTTGAGCACTGCCCTAGTATCAGGCTGACTAATGGGAAATAAATCTGTTTCTGTTTGTAATGCTGGAGTTGAATGAAGACTGGCATATATGGCGGTACCAGACCTCAGAACCGCAGGCTCAGCCCCTTCCTTTCCTTCCTCTGTGCCGATGCCTATCGGCAGGGGTGTGCTATGAGGGTGCGTCCGTCATGGCACATGTGTGGAGGTTGGAAACTGGTCTTGGAAGTCAGTCTTCCTCACCTTTTGCGTTGAGACAGGATTTCTTTGTTGTTGCTGTGTGTACACCGGGCTGGCTGACCCTCGGGTGTCCGAAGGTCCTCTGCCTCCTGTCTTGCCGGAGGTATGCTGGGATTACAGAAGCTGTTGTTGTTGGCTCTACATGGGTTCTTCATGTTTGCACAGCAAGCATTGTATCTATGATGTCATCCCTAGGCCTGTTTTCTCTCTGCCTCTGTGTGCGTGTGTGTGTGTGTGTGTGTGTGTGTGTGTGTGTGTGTGATGAGCCTTTGCCTGCCAAAGGACAACCTTGGGTGTCATTCTTCAGGGACCACAAACCTATTTTGTTTTTAGACAAGGTCTCTCACTTCACTACCTAGGAACATGACCAAGTAGGCGAGGCTAGCTGGCCCACGAACCCCATGGATCTCTTCCTGCCTCCACGGATCCAGGGCTGGGATTACAGAACTATGCTGCCATGCCCAGCGCACATCCCCACACATGTATGGAAGGCACTTTAGGACTGAGCCCATCACAGTAAATCGTAGTAGAAGACAGGGTTAGGTAGATGTCCCTGGGGCTGGAGAAATGGCTCAGTGGTTCATTCCCAGCACTCACGGCGACTCGCACTCCTGTGTAACTCCAGTTCCGGGGCATCCAAAGCCCTCTTGTGGTCTCTGGGCACCAGGCATGCATATGGTGCACAGGCACACATGAAGGCAAAACGCCCACACATATTTTTCATAAGTGCTTGCGACACAAGTTTGATATCCTAAGTTTGATCCCGAGTACTAACAATGGAGAGATTAAATTAATTTTTGTTTGTTTTTGTTTTTCGAGACAGAGTTGCTCTGTATTGCTTCGGAGGCTGTCCTAGAACTTGCTCTGTAGACCAGGCTGGCCTCGAACTCACAGAGATCCCCATGCCTCTGCCTCCCGAGTGCTGGGATTAAGGTGTGAGCCACCACTGCCTGACTTCAATTAATTTTTTTTAAGCCAACAATTCCTGGACTTGTGAATTAAAGTCCTAGTGAGCTGGGCAGTGTCTCACACACACACACACACACACACACACACACACACACACACACGGTCCCCACACACAGCAGGTAGAGAGCAGAAAGATCAGGAATTAAAGGTTGTCCTCAGCTAGGCAGACCTTCATGCCTGGCTCCAGTTAAACCCTGGACCAGACATTGCCTGAGCACTGGTAGGTTAGCACCCTGAGTTCGATGGGCTCGTGGGCCGTGGCTGGGCCAGCACTATGAGGGCCCTCACTCTGGGCTTCTCCTGCCCCTCCCATGGGAGACGGGGGAGGTCAGGAAAATGGGACGATTTGGACGCTGGCCTGTCCCCTCTAACCTGCCCTTCTGTTCTCGCAGGTTGGCTTCTAAGACAGCTGTCCTGCCTGACCTACAGCCACCTGTCACTCCATCTGTCCACCACGACCCCGGGCGCGTCCATAGAGCAAGGGAAGGAGAGGGACATGGTGTAAGGCACCCTCCCACAGGCATAGGGAGCTTGGGCCCTGCACACATCTGAAGGTAGAAGCTGGTGGCTGGGCGGTGGCGGGTGTGTGTGTGTGTGTGTGTGTGTGTGTGTATGTGTGTGTGTGTGTGTGTGTGTGTGTGTGTGGCCTCAGGCACCCCACTTGTTTGGTGTAGAGGACAATGAACTCAGTCTCAGAGATGAACAGACGCCTGGAGACAGGGCTGAGGCTGTTCTGGCCCCTGAAGGGAATTGGCATCCAGGCTGAGTCAGAAGGTCCTCTCTGCCATGTGGTCAGGGATCAGAGGGACATGGGGTGTTTGCAGGCTGAGGCCCAGCATCATTGGAGCCCAGGACCTTGCACGCGCCAGACGACATCCTGACCTCTTCTCTGTATCTCTAGCTCTGTTTGGTTTTCCTTTTATGTTGTTTGTTTTGAGACGGTGCTTTGCTATGTAGCCCTGGCTAGTCTTGAATTTAGAGAAATCCTCCTGTCTCTGCCTCCCAAATGCTGGGATTTCAGACATGTGCCACCACGCCTGGCTTCTTTCTTTCTTTCTTTCCCTCTTTTTAATTTTTATTGATGTGTGTGTGTGTATTCTGTGTGTGTAGGCACCTGTGCAATCAGAAGGCATCGATTGCTTGGAACTGGAATTATAGGTTGTTGTGAGCCACCTGATGTGGTGCTGGGGGGAACTGAACTCAGGTCCTCTGGGAAAGGAGCTGGTGTTCTTTTTTTTTCTTTTTCTTTTTTCTTTTTTTTTTTTTTAAAGGCAGAATTTCTCTGTGTAGCCTTGGCTGTGCTGCAACTCTATCTGCTGGCCTTGAACTCACAGAGATCGACCTGCCTCTGCCTCCCAAGTGCTGGGACGAAAGGCGTGGGACACCCCCGCCTAGCACAGCCAGTCTTCTTAACCACTGAGGCATCTATCTGTTCTCTCTCTCTCTCTTCTCTCTCTCTCCTTCTCCTCCTCCTCTTTTGGTTTGGTTTGGTTTGGTTTGGTTTGGTTTTTCGAGACAGGGTTTCTCTGTAGCTCTGGAGCGTGTCCTGGCACTGGCTCTATAAATCAGGCTGGTCTCAAACTCAGAGACCCTCCTGCCTCTGCCTCTGAGTGCTGGGATTAAAGGTGTGCGCCACCACTGCCTAGCTCCTCTTTTTTTCCCAATACAATCTCATGTATTGAATCCCTTGAATTCTTTGTGTAGCCCAGACCGCCTCCGACTCTAGTTCCCCACATTTATTTATATTTATTTTGTGTGTATGTATATTTACATGCTACACATACCACAATGTACCCGTGGCAGCCAGAGGACAACATACACAAGAGGCAATTCTCTCCTTCCACAGTGTGGGTTCTAGAGGCCACATCGGTGTTGTCAAGTCTAATGGCACCCTTAGCCCCTGAGCCTTCTCACCAGCCTCGGCTCTGACTCATGGTCCTCCTGCCTCTGCCTCCTGAGTGCTGGGATTGCAGATGTGAGCCACCATGCCTTTTGAGAGTGACATCTTCACTTAGATAACGCTCTCAACGTCGCAGCCTAGTTCAGCACCTCGGTCCTTTTTGCATTGAACGGGCATTAAGATGAGAGCACTGACTGCTCTCCCAGAGGACCTGAGTTCAATTCCCAGCCGCCACATGGTTGCTCACAGCCATCTGTAATGAGATCTGGCGCCCTCTTCTGGCCTGCAGGTGTACATGTAGGCAGAACACTGTATACATAATAAATACTTAAATAAATAACTCTTTAAAAACATTTGTCTGTCCAGTCTCCATTGACAGACATTTGGTGGTTGTCACCTCTTAGCTCTGGTGAATACATTGCTGGGGACAGTGTTCGAGGAACGTTTTGGGAGTCCCTAGTAGAATGTGTTGTTCTCTTTGTTATTGCAAGTGAAATCCTGGCTCAGCCCTGTCATTGAGGCAAGCCCAGGCACCTCAATGGAGTGACAGTCAGAATACAGCTGGTAGGTGGGGAAGCTAATGGGGCCCGGAAGCCGCATGGAGGAGCTTGGCCTAGTAGAGCGGGCTCTTGGAGCTGAGCAGAGACACAGGCATGATGTTTTCATCTAAGATGGGTCCATTGGAGGGGACTTAAGGGCAGCAGCTGGAGGGGTGGGGAGGCTGATGAGCTCTCTAAGGCGAGAGCAGGCTGTGGAGAAAGGTAAAGACGGAGAGAGCTAGGGGCCCCGAGAGGAGGCTCAGCGGTCAAGAGCCCTTGTTCTTGCAGAGGACATGGTGTGATTCCCAGCACCCACGTTGTGGCTTGCAGCTACCCATAACTCCAGTTCCAGGGCACCTTTTGCCCTATTCTGGCCTCCGTAGGCACCAGGCACATATACTGTGCATAAAGTACATGCAATCAAAATACTCATACACGTAAAATAAATAAATAAAAGTAAAAGCTGCTGAGAGCTGGAACCTGGGGCTCCGTGTGGTGGCTGTGGAGCACTGCCCCCTTCACTTTACCCATCGTTGCCTCCTACTGAGCTTCCCAGAGCTACAGGGACAGAGACAGACAGCGGGTGCCCCGTCTGTGAGCCGCAGCGTGTCCCAAGCAGGGAGAGGTTCCCTAACAGAGCAGTCAACCTCCTCCATACAGGGCCACCTGTCCAGATCCATTGCAGTTCTTAGCACCTTGTTCTTCGCGCCAGCCTCTTGCATGTAGTACTTTGTAATATTTTACACACCCACGCAGTATGATCCACGCTGAACGAAACGCCCTGTGTAACCATCCGTCAGGAATTGGTATGTCCTGTTTAGTCAGGGCTTTCCTGTCCTCAGAGATGTCAGTCTGGCTGCTCCCCAGGGAAAGGCGTCCACACCCGACCCCAGATCCTATGCTGTTTGCTGGAGCACAGGGGCTACCCTGAGGGACGGCCCCAAGCTTGCTTCCTTTTTGCCTGCTCGGTCTTTGCGTTCAGTGAGCATGAGTCACCTTTATTGTTAAGAATAGTTTGTCACTGTGGAAAAAGAAATGACAGGCCTGGGGACATGGCTCATTCGGGAGAGCGCTTACCTAGCAATCGTGGAGCCCTATGCTTGATCCCCAGCAGACATGGTCGCACACGCCTGTAATCCCAGCACATGGGAGGGAGAGGGAGGAGTCCATGGTCACTCAGAAGCACAGCACAGGGCTCGAGAGATGGCTCAGGGGTTAAGAGCACTGGCTGCTCTTCCAGAGGTCCTGAGTTCAGTTCCCAGCAACCACATGGTGGCTCACAGCCATCTTTATGAGATCTGGCGCCCTCTTCTGGCCAGCAGGCAGAACACTGCATACACAACTGATTAATTGATTAGAAAAGAGAAACACAGCAAGTTCAAGGCTAGCCTCGGATGAAACCGCTCTTAAAGGAAAGGGAAAAAAAAAAAAAAAAATGAGAAATACCAGGCCAGTTGCAGTTTGAATTATCTTTCTCTTTTCCTAACAGATGTAGACCAGGCTACCCTTAAACTCACAATATTCTCTCCTCATTCTTCCAAGCACCAGGATTATAGGCTTGTACTAACCACACAGAGGCATGCTATGTGACTGAGGCTGGCCTTGAACTCCCAGGCCCAAATGACACTCCCTCCCTCAGCCTCCCGAGCAGCTTTGAGAAGCCTCTGAGAAGGAAGTGTGCAGCCTTGGGGGACCCGCATGGTGGGTTTCTCTTTCCTCTGGGCCAGAGGCAGGGCCACCACTTCCTGTGCACAAGGTCTGCCCCCACGAGAAGCACCTGCCCTGCCCTTCCCTGCATGATTGACTCCTGTGGCAGCAGCGTGTGCCTGCCCAGCAGCACTGAGAGCACCAGGTGGCAGTTTGGCATGCTCGGTTGTCTGGAACGTTCCTGTCCTTTGAATGTTCCCACAGAGACCAAGGAAGGGCCCTTTGCCCACGCCCACCCTACGCCCCGCCCTGCTCTGACCACACCCAGTCCTTATCCTTATCTTTCACCAAAGAGAGACCAGAAAGGGACTAAGGGGGGGGGGGGTTCAAGGTCCTCTTCACCCCCTGCTAGTCAGAAATGCAAATGTGAGGTCAGAAATAGACACCGAGTTCCTCTACCAGCCAGGTGTGGCCTGGCCACATCTCTCTGGAGCTTGGTGTGAGGCCATCCTGTGGGGCAGGTTGGTGCTGGCCCCTGGGCTGCCTTCCCTGCTTCCAAGATCCCCAGCCCCATCAGATCCTGCCACCTCTACGCGCCTGTGCTGCCCTCCCTGCCTCTCTTCTAGCGCCGTCAACAACATGGCCTCCGCTGACAAGAATGGCAGCAGCCTCTCCGCCGTGTCTGGCAGCCGCCTGCAGAGCCGGAAACCACCCAACCTATCCATCACCATCCCACCGCCAGAGACCCAGGCCCCCAGCGAGCAGGACAGCATGCTTCCCGAGGTGAGAGGCTGGAGGCGCAGACCTGCCAACCTGTGCCACACCTTCTGGGTGGTTGCGCTGCCTAGACACGCCCATCTGTTAAGGCGCACAGCCCTGAAATATTGTAGGGAGCGAGGCTTTGAACTCTGAAATTTTGGGAGCTCTGTCTCCTGGTGGCCAAGGAACAGTCCTTGAGAAAAGGGCTTGTTGGCAAGCCTAGGCTCTCATTTTCCCTCTCTGGCCCGGCCAGGCCTCTTCTGAGGGGGTGTGGGCTGTCTGTGGTGGCCTGAGTGGGTGTAGGGTGGGTCCCACAGTGCCAGCAGCCCACCCGGTAGTGCCTGGCTCTGGGGGGATGGGTCTGTGTTTCTGTCCACTTGCATTCCCGTTCCATAAAGACTTCATTGAGAACAGGCCCCAGATAGCGTGGGCTTTGCACACAGCCTAAGACATAAAGGAGAGCTATGTTGGGGCCGCCCGCTCACCCTGCGGCTCTGTACGTCACGTGAAAAGACGTGAGACCACCCCATGATCATGGGCAGATCATGTATAGGGAGGGTTTGCTGGGGTTTGTCCATTTGGGGGGGTACAGGGTTTCATGTAGCCCAGGTTAGCCTCGAGCTGCATCTGGCGTATGTAGTGGTGGGGGCCAGAACCCAGGGATTTATATTCGCTGGGCAAATGCTCTACCAACTTGAGCTACATCCCCAATCCTTGCTAGAAAACACTAGAAAATGTTCACTTTAGGTTCAAAATGAAGGCTTGTGGAGGGAGGGGGCGCAGCTCGGCAGTCTGGTGTTTAAGTGGCCTGCATTGAACCCTGCATTGAATATAAAAGCAGCAGACCAGTGCACAGGCCCTGTACTCAACACATGTCCTCCTCACTGCCCCACAGAGGCCCAAGAACCCAGCCTTCCTGAAGAGTGTCAGCCTCCAGGAGCCCCGAGGACGATGGCAGGGTGGCGCGGAGAAACGCCCTGGCTTCCGCCGGCAGGCCTCCCTGTCCCAGAGCATCCGCAAGTGAGCGTCCACCTGCACACCCCAGCAGCCTGTACAATCTGGCCTTTCACAGGGCCTGAGCCCTGGGTCCCCTTTCCAGGAGGTGTAGACGGTCAGTGAGAGTCAGCTCCCTGTGGGGGTGGAATGCCAGCGCCTGACGTGATGGCGTAGGTGGTGCAGCCTGGGCTCCAGGTGTGCCCAGGCCCGCAGGAACTTCCACGGCATGCTGGAGAGACCCCTCCGGGCCTTCCCGCTCCCATTCCTCTAAGCCTGGTCACTGGGGACTCGGCGGAGCTCAGGGACGCGGATTCCCTAGGGCCCTGGAGGTAGATGGTATGGCAGGCAGGTGGCTTACCTTACACATAAACAGGGACACACATGTCCTCGCCCTCAGGTCACCTCTCCCTGTACCAGTTTCCCCAAACACATGCACATTTCCTCTGTTACCTCATACATTTCCCAACACACTCACACCACACTTGTCCCTTCCCAGCACACACATGCACACATGCACCCTCACCCCCTCCCCTGCACACACATGCACACATGCACCCTCACCCCCCTCCCCTGCACACATGCACCCTCACCCCCCTCCCCTGCACACACATGCACACATGCACCCTCACCCCCTCCCCTGCACACACATGCACACATGCACCCTCACCCCCCTCCCCTGCGCACACATGCACCCTCACCCCCTCCCCTGCACACACATGCACACATGCACCCTCACCCCCCCTCCCCCTGCACACACATGCACCCTCACCCCCCTCCCCCTGCACACACATGCACACATGCACCCTCACCCCCCCCTCCCCTGCGCACACATGCACCCTCACCCCCTCCCCTGCACACACATGCACACATGCACCCTCACCCCCCTCCCCTGCGCACACATGCACCCTCACCCCCCTCCCCCTGCGCACACATGCACCCTCACCCCCTCCCCTGCACACACATGCACACATGCACCCTCACCCCCCCTCCCCTGCACACACAGGTGCACCAGGACCCCTCACACTGCTCCTCTCCCTGGAAGTGCGTGCGCAGGTTCCCATCCACGCTGTATCTTTTTGCAGGGGCACAGCCCAGTGGTTCGGGGTCAGTGGCGACTGGGAAGGCAAGAGACAAAACTGGCATCGTCGGAGTCTTCACCACTGCAGTGTGCACTATGGCCGGCTCAAGCCCTCGTGCCAGAGAGACCTGGAGCTGCCCAGCCAGGAGGTGCCCTCCTTCCAGGGCACTGAGTCTCCAAAGCCCTGCAAGATGCCCAAGGTGGGCTCCCCGGAGATGGGGGGCAGTGAGCAGCTCTCCCATGGGCCTGGGCAGCTTTGCTCACCTACTGTCTCTTGCAGATTGTGGATCCGCTAGCCCGTGGCCGGGCCTTCCGCCACCCAGATGAGGTGGACCGGCCTCACGCTCCACACCCACCTCTGACTCCAGGAGTCCTGTCCCTCACGTCCTTCACCAGTGTTCGTTCTGGCTACTCCCATCTGCCTCGCCGCAAAAGGATATCCGTTGCCCATATGAGCTTTCAGGCAGCCGCTGCCCTCCTCAAGGTGAGACCCACGTCCCCACCCATGGCAGCCACTGAGCTGTGAGTGCATGCGTACCCTGAAGCCCAGAGATGCCCATGTCCCTTAGGGCCCAGTTCTGCTGCGAGACCCTCACTGCCCCTCTGTTTTAGGAAGGTACTTTCCACAGATATGGGAGACATGACGGGAGATAAAGTATCCGATCAGTGGGCAAGGGCCTAGTGTCCTGGATCAAGAGGTAGCAGTAAGGGACATAGAATTGAGCGTGACGGTATGGAATATGGATGCCTTGAGTATTGGAGTGCCAGTTGCTCGTTAACAGGCAAGAGGTTACCAGGGGAAAAGTGACCCTGAACCTTGGAAAGAGGCTGTGTAGGGCCAGCAGCAGCTGGAACGCCATCCTAGCCTTCTGCAAAAACCCATCGCCTGATCTGATGCTCCATGCCTTCGCCAACCTGCACACTGTCCCTTTGGTCCTGGACTCTGGGTCCTGATACTGATGATAATGCTTCTGTCCCATGCCCAGGGGCGCTCAGTGCTAGACGTCACTGGGCAGCGGTGCCGGAATGTCAAGCGCAGCTTCGCCTACCCCAGCTTCCTGGAGGAAGATGCGGTCGATGGAGCAGACACCTTCGACTCCTCCTTTTTTAGTAAGGCAAGCATGGGGTGTGGACTCTCTGGGCAGGGACTGGGGTGGCCTGGGAGCTGAGAAGTACCTGGGCCTTGACCAAGTCCTGCCGGGATCCCCAAAATGTTCAAGGGCAGGATGGGTGTGTCCTTTGTGAGCCACTGGGCTGGGCTCCCATGGGGGGTGGTGAGGAGTGGGGATGTACCCACTGGGAGAGTCACTTCAGGGATGACCAGCATGTGGCTTCTCCTTCCGTCGGCGTTGCCTTGCCCTTGAGTGGCATGCTAGGGGATGGCACTTGGGCCAGTGACCTTACCCTGTTTTCGGTACCCTCTACTCCAGGAAGAAATGAGCTCTATGCACGATGATGTATTTGAGTCTCCCCCGCTCTCTGCTAGCAACTTCCGAGGGGTCCCACACTCCGCCTCCCCAGCCTCCCCTGATGGAGTGCAGATCCCTCTGTGAGTACAGGGTGGCCACTCTCCTGCGCCCTGCCCTGCCCTCTGCCCAGCTCTGGCCCCTGAGGCTGAATCATTTGTCACCACCAGAAAAGAGTACAGCAGCCGACCCGCAGCCCCTGGGGCCCAGCGTGGCAAGCGCATCGCCTCCAAGGTAAAGCACTTTGCATTTGACCGGAAGAAGCGCCACTACGGCCTCGGTGTGGTGGGCAACTGGCTGAACCGCAGCTACCGCCGCAGCATCAGCAGCACTGTGCAACGGCAGCTGGAGAGCTTTGACAGCCACCGGTGAGCCCCCCAGGAGCTGGCCTGAGCAGGGGCCTGCTTCCAGAGCCTCTAGACCTCTCAGGGCCTTCACAAACGCCAGCCCATCTTGTTCAGTAAATGTTTCAAGAGCACCCTCTACAGGTCTACTGGGTAATGACAAGCTCCCAGGCACACGTGCTCAGGGAGCAGGGTGTGTATGTGTGTGTGAGTGTGCATGTGTGAGTGTGTGTGTGTGTGTGTGTGTGTGTGTAGGTAGCCTGGAAAGGGTCCACTGACATATGCTGCCCTATCCGCGCTCAACAAACGTTGGTCAAGCACCGGCATGCACAAGCTCTAGTACACAGCCCCGAGAGAAAGGTATTGTGGGTGGCTGGGTCAGAAGGATAGGTAGCAGTTGGAGCCTGGAGCTGGCAAGATGGCTGAGTGAGACTGTGACCTGAGTTTGACCCCTGGGACCCATGTAAAGGTGGAAGGAGAGAGCCAACTCCGCAGATCCGCAGAGTTGTCTTGCGACCTCCACATTCATGCCATGTCATGTGCACCCCACCCCCAGTTCAGTGTGCAATCCCAGTCTTCAGCCGGCAGAGGCGGGCAGCTCTGTGCGTTCAAAGCCAGCCTGGTCTATATGTTGAGATAGAGATAGCTTGTCTGAAAGCAAAAGAAGTTAAAACAGAACAGAAGGGGTTGGAGCCTGGAGAGAGGGCGTCTGAGGGAGGTTGGGGACGGCGATGTTAAAGGAAGCTGGGGTTAAAGAATGAGGTATGGTCACAGTGTGACCCAGCAGTCACTGGACTCCGTGTACAGAGTAAGAAATGACGGGTGGAGGGGTGGGCAGTCTCCCAGGCGATGTAAAGTTCTCCAACCCTGGGGCTTCAGGGTCGGGCTGATCCAGGAAGTGCCAGCGGAAGAGAAAGGAAGAGATGAGCACAGCCAGGCTTGCCGGTCAGCAGCAGGGGTGATGCTTCCATCGGGGTTTTAAGCGGAGCGACGCTTGGAGATGCGTCTTCCTCGTTTGTGTGGGGAAGGCTGAACGGGGGTGAGCAGAGAGCCCAGGGGCAGGGCGGTGTGAGCTTGCCGGGCTGACGAGGCCTCTGCCCACAGGCCCTACTTCACCTACTGGCTGACCTTTGTCCACATCATTGTCACCCTGCTGGTGATCTGCACCTACGGCATTGCACCCGTGGGCTTCGCGCAGCACGTCACCACCCAGCTGGTGAGTAGGGCTCTGCCGAGGGCCTTCAGCACGTTGGGCTCCGAGTGTCTCCCACCGCAGTGGCCTGGCCCAAGCTGGAGGTGCTGAGGCTCTGTTGGGGGATGCAACCCATCCCCTCTGCTCTCACACTCGGGACTCTGCTCCTCCAATGCCTCACACTACCTCCCTGACAGGTGCTGAAGAACAGAGGTGTGTACGAGAGCGTGAAATACATCCAGCAGGAGAACTTCTGGATTGGCCCCAGCTCGGTGAGGCCTAGGCTAGGGGTGCCTGGGAGCCCTGTACCCTGTCACTCCACGCTGGGTAGATGGGCAGTTGGGGGAGGCTCCGCAGTGGATGTGGGGTGCCCTGCACCTGCTGAGTGTGGAGTGATGGCTCACCAGTCCCTCTCCCAATCCCAGATTGACCTGATCCACCTAGGAGCAAAGTTCTCACCCTGCATCCGGAGAGACCAGCAGATTGAGCAGCTGGTGAGGAGGGAGCGTGACGTTGAGCGTGCCTCGGGCTGCTGTGTCCAGAATGACCGCTCGGGTTGCATCCAGACCCAGAAGAAGGACTGCTCGGTGGGTACAGCCCCCCGACCCTGCCAGCCCCACCACAATCCTACTGGATCACTCCTTCCCTCTCCAGCCCAGCTGGCAAACCCAAAGCCGGGCTTGGAAAGCTGGACAGACTGGCTCCTAGGAAGTACCTGAGCCCTGGGGAAATGGGAATAGTCCTTGTCCTGGAGGGTTCCCTACCCGCACCCCTGGGTGACATTGCCCCGGCATGACCTGCCTTCCTCTCCACCACCCAGGAGACTTTGGCCACCTTTGTAAAATGGCAGAATGATACTGGGCCCTCAGACAAGTCTGAGGGCCAGAAGCAGCCATCAGCAGTTGTGTGCCACCAAGACCCCAGGTACAGCATAGAGCCACCAAGCCTTCTGGGATGCCGGCGGGTGGGTGTGGCGGGCTGGGGTGTCACAGCTCTTCGTTTTGCCCAATCAACCACTGTTTTCAGGACCTGTGAAGAACCAGCCTCCAGTGGTGCCCACATCTGGCCTGACGACATTACCAAGTGGCCGGTGAGTGAGTGGTAGAAGGCTTTGGGATGACGTTTGGGATGACTGGGGGGGGGGGGATTTGGCTCCCTGTCACTGAGGCCCACTGCCATCGGTTCCCTCTCGTAGATCTGCACAGAGCAGGCCCAGAGCAACCACACGGGCTTATTGCACATAGACTGTAAGATCAAAGGTCGCCCCTGCTGCATTGGCACCAAGGGCAGGTGAGCCAGCACCCCAACCCTGCAGGCTGGTGGGCCTCTGTAACTGCCCTCTGCTCTCTGCTCTTGGGTGATGAGGAGGCAGGGATGGAGGGGGCGGTGAGGTAGAAAGGGAGCTTGTTCCATCGCCTGCCGCCGTGGCCAGGTGCTGGGCTCTAGCCTAAATGGGCAGGGGCCCTTTAGATCACTGAAGCCCTGTGCTTCCTGTCCACAGCTGTGAGATCACCACGCGGGAGTATTGTGAGTTCATGCATGGCTATTTCCACGAGGAGGCAACGCTCTGTTCCCAGGTAGGGAAGGCTGCCTGGGTATTGGAAGCTGTAGGGGTCCTGAGGCTCACCGGATCCTTCCCATCTGGAAGCCTCACCTGGCCTGCCTCCTAAGGCAGCAGTGACGACCTGTGTCCCCCCCACCCAGGTGCACTGCTTGGACAAGGTGTGCGGGCTACTGCCTTTCCTCAACCCTGAGGTCCCCGACCAGTTCTATCGGATCTGGCTGTCTCTGTTCCTGCATGCTGGGTAAGAGGTGCCTCGCTACCCCTGCCCAGACTCCTATGCCTCCCCACTTAGATGCTGGAGAAAGGGCTTCTGGCCCAAGCACAGCCCACTCCGCCTGCCAGTGCTGGCTGTCCTTGCGCTTATACCCGGCTGGTGGATGGGCACACAAGGAAAGCTGATGATGCCGTGTCTCTGTCCCCAGCATAGTGCACTGCCTCGTGTCTGTGGTCTTCCAAATGACCATCCTGAGGGACTTAGAGAAACTGGCCGGCTGGCACCGCATCTCCATCATCTTCATCCTTAGCGGCATCACAGGCAACCTGGCCAGCGCCATCTTCCTCCCCTATCGGGCAGAGGTAGGGACTCGGGAGACAAGGGCAGAGAGGGTGGGCGCGCCCTCCCTTTTGGGCTTAAAGCGATGTGGCACGTGGGAGAGTCAACCCTGCTGCTTCTGCTCTAGTCCCTGCCCGGGGTCTGCGCAGGGCACAGAGCCGCTTGTGTTGAGCTCAGCTATGGATGGACACTAAGCTGGGGCTGACTGTTTGGCCCCTTCATGCTTGGGGGCGGGGATAGTCAGGAGTCACAGGGATCCCCACTCAGTGCTCACCCTCAGGAGGACTCTTTTGATCCGTTCCCCTTAAGTCTGTTGCTCCTTCCTGTCTATGCTCCGCCCACGGCCTGTGGTCTCGGAGCAGCAGGCCGGCCTGTGCTAAGCACAGGGGTCACACACCCAGGTTTTGTGCAAGGGTGGGCAGAGAGCAAGCCCAGCAGCTCCTGCCTCGTTCCCTAGGTGCCAGGTGCGAGATGTGCCCCTGGTAGGTCCCGAGTCAGTGCGGCGCCTCTCTTCCCCAACCCTAGGTGGGCCCGGCGGGGTCACAGTTTGGCCTCCTAGCGTGTCTGTTTGTGGAGCTTTTCCAAAGCTGGCAGCTGCTGGAGCGACCGTGGAAGGCCTTCTTCAACCTGTCTGCCATTGTGCTTTTCCTCTTCATCTGTGGCCTCCTGCCCTGGATAGACAACATTGCCCACATCTTCGGTTTCCTCAGTGGTATGCTGCTGGCCTTTGCCTTCCTCCCCTACATCACCTTCGGCACCAGTGACAAGTACCGCAAGCGGGCGCTCATCCTGGTGTCGCTCTTGGTCTTCGCCGGGCTCTTTGCCTCCCTGGTGCTGTGGCTGTATATCTACCCCATCAACTGGCCCTGGATCGAGTACCTCACCTGCTTCCCCTTTACCAGTCGATTCTGCGAGAAGTATGAGCTGGACCAGGTGCTACACTAACTGCAGAGATGGCGTCTGCCGCGGCCACGTGCCTTTGAGACTTGCTGGCTGTGGGGTCCTGAGCACGGGGGCGCACTCTCCAGACAGCGCCGACTCCGTGTAAAACAGGTAGTAAAGGCAGATTCCACAGGGAGGAAGAGCTCCCTTTCTCAGGCCTGAATGTCCCTGACCCAGAGTGCCTGTTTCTTCACAGCTCAGGTCCTAGGCCCTGCCTGCCTTTCTTCCCAGGGCTCGGGGCTCTGCCCTCTGCAGGTGCCGCCTTCCCAGTGTCACTGTGACTGTGACCTCGCCAGACACACAGCTGCTGTCTCTCAGTTGTCCCCAGGGTTGAGGTCCTCACCATGCTGCTATGACTCCTTTCCTGTCTCTCCTCGCCCCCCTGCCCTACGAGCCCTTCCTGCATTTGTCCATGGACTCGTGAGCCTGCTTCTGGACATAGCATGTGAGAAAGGCTTTGGCCTTTGTCTAGGGGCAGTGACAAGCAAGGAGAGATGGTTATATGGGGGTGCTTAGGGCTTTTGTTATGCAAAGAAGCTGGATCTGGTACACCAGCTCAGCCCTAGCTGCAGTCTGTGTCTGGCCGCACAGGTTGGTTCTGATGCCCAGATGCCTCCACCACTACTGTCTCACCGCGGCTTATGTGACCAGGGGCTGAGCCACCTTGAGGACTGACTCCCAGGGGACCCTTGAGGCTCGCCCAGGGCTGGTGTTTTGTTTCTTTGTTTTTTTTTTTTTTTTTGTTTGTTTGTTTTTGTTTTTTTTTGGGGGGGGGTTCCAATTTATATTATTGTCCTAATTTTTTAAAGTAACGCTAACTTTGTATGGACGATGTCTCAAGTTTATTAAATGGCATTCTCTATTCAGTGTCTCTAAAATACTGCTATAGCCTGGCAGGGGTGGCGCATGCCTTTAGTCCCAGCACTGGGGAGGCAGAGGCAAACAATCTCTGAGTTCGAGGCCAGCCTGGTCTACAGAGTGAGTTCCAGGACAGGAGAAACCCTGCCTCGAAAAACCAAAATAAATAAGTACATAAATAAATCACTGCTTTTATCCTCAGGCCTCCAGGAAAATGAAAAGGAGAACTTGGAGCTAAAGAGATGGCTCACTTCCTGTCCTTGGCGCCCGGCTTCCATGTCAGGCCGCTCATACTACTGCAACTTCAGCTCCAGGGGGTCCCTCAGTCCCCTCTGGCCTCTGTGGACACCTTGTCCCACTAACACACGTATATAAAAATGAATATTTATTTAAAAAGTACTAAAGCCAGGCAGTGGTAGTGCACACTAAGCTCAACACTCAAGAGACAGAGGCAGCAGATCTCTGAATTCAAGCCTAGCCTGATTTACAAAGTGAGTTCCAGGACAGCCAGGATTGGTTACACAGAGAAACCCTGTCTCAGAAAACAAAACAAAACAAAAACCACTCAGAGACTGGAGAGATTAAGAGCACTGCCTGCTCTTGCAGAAGACATGGGTTCAATTCCCAGCAACCACATGGCGGCTCACCTGAAACTACAGTCCCAGGGGATCCTGCTCCCTGTGGCCACCGCAGACACCTGCATGTCTGCTACACAGACACACATAAAGACGCATACACCTGAACATTTTTAAATGTTTTTAATTTTGAAAGCCGGGCATGGTGGCACTTGAGGGCAGCCTGGCCTACATAGTGAATTGTAGTCCAGCCTAAGCTACCAAGTAACACCCTTTCAAACAGTTTTATTTATTTATTTATTTTAATTTATAAAAGTAAACACGTGGGTGTCAGTGCAGCGGTCACGAGGCTGGGACAGACCTGAGAACTTGGGAATCTCTCAGGCAGATTATGATCATCGCGAGGATGAAGAGAACTCTGGGCGGGCTGGGCTGCATGTGCAGCCCTGAAATCTCCACCCCAACTCCCGTGCAGTCAGAGGATTGACCATCTGCAGAAGCGGCCTGTTCTGGCAGAGGCGCTCTTGGTGGGAGGTCAGGGGGCGTTTGCTCCTCCAGTCAGCTCACTTAGAAGACCCTGCACACACCCATAATCCACAGCCCCTGGGGACATAGCTGCTTTATTAGTGGGGCTGGACCAGGGTAGAAGACCTGGGCACTCTGGTGCCCGACCACAGAGGGGTGTGGCCCTGCGGCTTTCCCTAGCCCAAGGCTGCCGCCATCCACAGGTCCAAGCCCCAGGTCCTTCTGGAATCCAGCTCCAGGCTGGCTCACATTCCCAGTTAGGAGCCAGGAAGGATGGGGTGTCAGTCTGGGGAGAGCAAGGACCCCAGAATCAGGGCAGTGCACTGGGATGCATGAACAGCAGGTAGAGGAGGAAGTCTGGGGACAGCCCTTGGCTTTGTGCATAGTTCAGAATGCAAGTGGCCCTTTGGGGACAGATGGCAGCTTGTGCTGGGCGAAGCCACCTCCTGTCCTCTTTATTGGCCCTTACCTCTCTACTCCAGTTGGCATCTGTCGTCTCCCTTCATGCTAGCCCGCTCTACCTGGGTGGGCTCTAGGCAGAGGAGGGTGTGGCATGGAAGTCAGGAGCCCCCAGCCTGCTGCTCCCGCCCTCTCCATGGCCAAGTGGGCCGCTTGGGTCAGCAGCCGCTGTTCCTGCGTAGGAAGGCATGGCACCGTAGGGAACACTGTAGCTCCGTGAAAGTGAGGGAGCCCACGGTGATGGCACACGGGCCCACAGCCTGGAAACCAAATTTCTCATAGAAGGGCACCAGTGTGTCCTCGCACATGAGCACAGCTCGATGCACAGCTGGCTGGCTCCCCAGGTGGTGCAGGTATCGCCACAGCAGGACAGAGCCCTTGCCCTGCTGCCGGAAGGTGCGATGCACTGCCAGGACGTGCAGGTGCGCTGTGCGACCTCCAGGCCTGTGCAGTGTCAGTGACTCCTGGGGGTGGGCAAGGGACAGATGTCCAGGTTACTTCTGATGCCTGCTCCTGCAAACCCAGCCCTAACCAAAAGGAAGGGTGTTCCGGGTACCGGGAGTAGCCCAGACTCCCACTGTGAACCACTACAGCCCTACGGACAAAGCTTCAAAGGTCCTTCAAGACCTGTGGATTGTGACCCCTCTGGGGGGGTCTAAGGACCCTTTCACAGGGGTCACCTAATGCAAAACAGGTGCTTACATTACAATCCATAACAGTAGCAAAATTACAGTTACAAGTCTCAGCAAAAAATAATTTTAGGGTCAGCACATGAGAAAGGGCTGCAGCGTTAGGAAGGCTGAGAACCCTGCTCTAGAGGACGGGGTGAGGGCTCCCGCCTCCGGAGTGTCTGCTGCTGATTGGATCTACTCTCTGCTTAGAAGGAGACATCCACCTCTGAGGAGCTCGCCCTGCCCTCACCTGAGTAAGTCTCTCCTTGTCCCAAAGGGAGCCGATGATGAAGGCCACAAGGCAACCCTCCTCAAACCAGCCCAATGACAGCTCTGGACAGAGGGTCAGGAAGTGTCGGATCTCATCCAAGTAGAGGGGGCAGGTACCGGAGACAGAGATGAAGGCTAAGGCAGAAGGCAAGGATGAATGTTTGCTATGCTGCTTGCCCACTGCTAGTGTACACCAAGGGTCACTATTGCCCTCTGCTGGAGAGCACACATCTCTCCCTCCCTCCCTCCGTGTGTGTGTGTGTGTGTGTGTGTGTGTGTGTGTGTGTGTCTGTGTCTGTGTCTGTGTCTATATCTGTCTGTCTGTGTGTGTGTGTCTGTGTCTGTGTCTGTCTGTCTCAAATTTAATTCCCAAAGGCAGGATCTTCAGGGGAAGACAATAGTCACCCTCGAGTACCTTCCCAAGTGCCACTCACCTTCACGCTCAATCTCAAATGCACTGATAGCATCCTCCGGGGTAAGGCACCGGAACTCGCTGGCAGGAAGTGTGTGACGCCGCTGGCAGCCTAGGAACTCTGAGGTCCCAGGTGGCAGGTGCAGGGCCTCAGGTTTCAGGGGGTGTATGCTCAACATGGGCATCTGGCTGCTGAACCCTCCCTGGGGTTCTCCAGCTTCAGAAGTGGTCTCTAAGCACCTGTGGGAGAAAACAAGGGAGGGGCCTGGCATTCGTCCTGAATAAGTCAGGCATCTCTGGGGACAGAGCCAATCCTCAGGTGCCTGGACCTCCAGGCAAATTCCAGGAATGTTAGTGTATCTCCTCACTTTCACTCAAGAGTTAGAGATCAGGCTGCAGAGACGGCTCCGCTGATAAGAGCACTGGCTGCTCTTCCAGAGGACCCGGTTCAATTCCCAGCACCTACATGGCAGCTCACAACTGTCTGTCACTCCAAGATCTGACACTCTCACAGGGGTGTACATGCACACAAAATAAAAATAAATACGTTGTAAACAACAGAAGAGCTATAGGGAAGTTGTCCACTGCCCTCCAGGTATCCCGGCCTTGATGCCCAAGGGGGCAGAAGAGCAAGGGTGCATGAACCTCCAACCTCCTCTACTCAATCTGTAGGGGTGGGCGGACACCCAGGCCTGTGATACCGCCATTCATGTGGCTTGTCTCACCCAGAGGGAGACTTCTAGCCTTCTGTATGAGATAGTACAGCCACGAGAATATTCAGTTTTTGCCTTTTAAAGGAAGTGTGTCCGTGTGGACATGTGCACATGTGTGCATGAGCCCACAGAGGCCAGAGGCATTGGGCCTGGAGCTGGAGCTACAGCTGGTTGTGAGCTGCTCGGTGTGGCTGCCGGGAACCGAACTCAAGTCCACAGGGAAAGGGATATGGACTCTTAATCTCTGAGTCATCTCTCCTTCCATTTCAGGTTGCTTCAGGCTTTAATCCAGGAGAAAAAGCTCTTTAATTAATGTGAAGCCGATCGCCCATTTCCCCAGATGACGTCAGACTAGGTCATGCTCAGGAGATGGGGATAAGACGGTTAAAGAGTCTGAGGCTGCAGAGTCCCCAGTGGGGAGGGTCAGGTATGGAGGGCACTCGGGAAGGCTGTCCCCCAGCTTAGACCCATAGCCCCTGTGGGTACCCTCTTTCCTAAGACACCCCACAAAGTGGTGGTCCTGAAAGGACCATACCCTGCCCTCAAAGGGGGCTGGGAAGCTAAGGTGAGGTGGCTCAGTAGGCAAAGGGACTTGCCACCAAGCCTGAGAACCTGAGTTTGATCCCAGGGACCCACATGATAGAGAGAGAGGACCGACTCCTACAGGTCACCCCTGTCTTGCACATGCTCACACACACCCACACGTGCACATAAAATGTTCTTTTTTAGGCGGGCAGCTGAGGCAGCTCCAGCACAAGGATCTAAGCACAATCCCCTGAAACAAGAGAAAAACCCGGAGGCAGCGCCCACTGCCCAGTGTCTGCAGTTCTAGCACTGATGAGACAGGATGGGTGAAACCCTGGAGCTCACTGGCTCCCTTAGCCAGCCTAGCCTATTTGGTGAGCTTCGGAACAGCAAGAGACCCTATCCCAAAAGAGGAAGTAGATGGTTCCTGAGGAATGACACCCAACGTCAACCTCTGGCCTCCATTACACATGCACACGCATACATACAAAGAGTCAGGCATGGGGTCCACTTACCAGAACTGTAAGGAGTCCAAGTGTCCCCGGTACAGAGCCAGTCACCCCGGGGACTGTCACCAGGTGCAGGAACTAGGCGAACCTGAGACTCCTTTCTGCAAGGCAACTGTAGGGCATCTCCCTCGGGCAGCATGTGATGATGATCTGGGAGATTCCTAATCCCCCAGCCCTGACTCCCATGTTACACCAGGCAGTATGATGCCAGCAGGACTTGGCAGTCAGGCCCTGGCCCCATCCTGCTGAGGACAGGCGTCAGCAGCGGCACAAAGGACGCAGAAGGAATTACTAGTAGCTGTCTCAAGCCCTGGGCTATAGGGAGAGCATGGGCTAAGCCTGGGGGTCTGACTGTAATCCCTGCCCTGTCCCCAGCTGGTTGGGCATGAGCAATAGCCTTCTGTTCCTCAGAGGCCAGTTTGCCCATGCCTCTGAGGGTCCTTCCTGCTCAGGTAGCTTGCTACTTTTTGTAGCCACATACCTGGGGAGGCACTTTCTACATCCCACAGGATATCCTGCCGGGTGAGTGTGACTGTCTCCATTTTACAGAGGAGGAAACGGAGGCTCTTCAATAACCTCATGGAGCCGTCCGGGCACCAAGAAAGCAGGGAAGTCCCCAGAAACAGTTTCCATAGCGTTCAGAGCAGAAACGCCTAAACACCATCAACCAAAGAGAGAGCTGCCACTCTGATGAGCCACTGTCACCAACGCCGAGGGGGACAGAGGACAGAAACATGAAATGCACGGTGGTGTCTAGCCTAACACATGATCCAGGTGTTAGGAACTGGCTGGTGGCTGCCCAGGGACTGACCTTGGAAATACAAGTGAGGTAACTGTTCTGTGGTACAATGCTAGCTCGTGCAACTGTCTATCTTTATGTTATATTCACGTCCTCTTAAACTCAAAGATCTCTGAGTTCCGTTCATCTCAGCTCCAACCGTCCCACCTCTGGGACCTTCAGCACCTGCAATCTCTGTCCCTCGCACAGCTGTACCTCTCTCCTTCCCACTCACACCTCCCTTGGCCACCCTCGGCTCTGCTCTGCCCTGTCTTCCCCAGGGCAGTGTACCCAGGCTCCTTGTCTGCTCAAGGTGCTGAGCCAGGAGTGCATTCCCTGAAGCCACCAACAGAGGGTGCACTTGCTGTTATCCCCGATCCTTGCAGTGGGGCCGCAGTTCCACCTTGAACCTTGGGGAGACCAGAGCCAGCACAGCCACGGCCACCACGCACACACTTTGCTATCGGTGGGGTCCTCTTTCCTCAGGGCCTCTCTCTGCTGTCTGATGCTCCTTTTGTTGCCTCAACTGCTCGCTCCCTGGCCACTTGCATCTTTCCCCTGCAGGAGACCAAGACCTCCTTAGGGTCAGCCCTTGGGTCCGGTGGGCAACACATTCAGGACCCCAGCCGAGCATCCATAGTGCCAACGTCCAGGGTTTCCCACAGCTGTGTCCTTCTTAGTTGGTGGCTCCATTGCGCCTCCTGGTGTCCAATCACAATCACCAGTGGATGCCCACAGTTCCATCCCTTGTCACTAACCATCCACATGGCTAGGCACCATCTGGAAAACACCTCTACACACGGCGACCCTCTGAGAATATGGCTAAACTGGAGAACCCCATTCTGCACCAGTGAAGGGGAAGGAAGGTGATAGCTGGATTCTCTGCTGGCCAATAGGAAGAAAACACACTCCTGAGCTGGGGTGTGGCTCAGCCGGTAGAATGCTCACCTAGCCCAGCACAGTACACCAGGTGTGCTAGTACAGACCTGTATGGAATGGGGAGGCAGGATCAGGAGTCCAACGTCATCCTCATCAGCTACATAGTAAGTTTAAGGTCGATTTTAGTTATAACAGAGGCAGAGAGAGAGACGAGGAGAGGGAAAGCATCTCAGATTGATGTGTACAATGATCAAAGATCGGATGCCCTGAATTGAGACACCAAAGTCCTCGATACCAAGAGGGAGGGCGGGCGTTCCTTTCTAGCTCCAGCCACCCTGTGGAATGAGATTTCCCTGAGACCCTTCAGAGTACCCAAGCCATTCCCACCTCTGGCAGCTCCGGCTCCCTAGAGACCGTGATAAAATTAACCTGACCTCAGCTTTTGTGTAGGACTGCCAGATTTATTTGTTTGTCTGTGTTGTTTTGGTACAGGGTTTCCCTGCGTAGCCATGGCTGTCCTGGAACTCACTCTGTAGACCAGTCTGGCCTGGAACTCACAGAGATCCGCCCGCCTCTGCTGGGATTGAAGTTGGGCACCACCACACCTCATCCCCTTCCTTTGTTTAGTACTAAGAACTTTGGCCTTAAACGTTGGATCTCCCTGCATCTACCTCCTCAGTGCTGGGGTTACAGGCACCACCATATCCACCTGCTAGGACTGCCACTGGCAAATACAAGTGCCCGGTGAAATTTAAACGTCAAATAAGAACTAAAACTTTTCAATATTTTATTTATTATTATTATTATTATTTATTATTTTTAAATTATGCATGCCTGTGTGTGTATGTGTGTGTATGTGTGGGAGTGCGTGGGTGTGCAAGAACTCATTCAGAAGTGTGTCTGATCCCCTAGAGGTGGGGCTTCGGGCGGTTGTGGGTCTCCTGATATGGAAGCTGGGGATCAACTCAGGCTCTCTACAAGGGCAGTGCAATCAATAGTAAGTATATGTATATGTATATGCATGAATATATCTGTGTGTATGCCTTCACATATATGTATATGTACACATGTGTGTATGTTATGGATATATGGTGTTCTTAAGCACTGAGCCATCTCTCCAAGCCATGAACAATCTTTTAAATAGAAGCAGCAGCTCTAGTTTGCTTTCTGTTGCTGTGATAAAGTGTGATAGTGATCAAAGGCAACTTGGGGAAGAAAGGGTTTATTCCACCTCACAGGCAAGAGCTGGCGGCAGGAACTGAATTAGAGACTATTCAGGGACGCCTCTCATTGGCTTGCTCTTTATAGCATGCTTAGTTTTCTTCCTTTTAAAGATTTATTACAATACAGTGTTCTGCCTGCAGGCCAGAAGAGGGCGCCAGACCTCATTTTAGATGGCTGCGAGCCACCATGTAGTTGCTGTGAATTGAACTTGGGACCTCTGGAAGAGCAGCCAGTGCTCTTAACCCCTGAGCTGTCTCTCCAGCCCCAGCTTGCTTTCTTATACAACCCAGGACTACCTGTCCAGAGGTGGCACTGCCTCCCGCAGCGATCAATAATCAAGAAAATAAATGCCCCACAGACATGCTCACAGGGCAATGTGATGGAGGCCATTTCTCAAGTGACATTTCCTCTTTCCAGAGGTGTCTCTGGTGGTGGCGGCGGTGAATTCCTTTAATCCTAGCACTCTGGAAGGTAGAGGCAGGCAGATTTCTGAGTTTAAGATCAGCCTGGTCTACAGAGTGAGTTCCAGGACAGGCTCCAAAGCCACACAGAGAAAC